AAAGGATATAAACAGAAGCCCTCACCATGAAATGAAGACCTTTCCTAAAAACCTTTTGTATCTATGTGACGCTCATTGGTCGAAGGCTAACAAGTTACAGACGGAGTGGGACGTGCTGAATTAGTATGCGGCAGTTAACGGCTGCTATCATGCCGGTACCTTCTTTGGTAGCAAAAGCCTGACTCTCAGCGATAACACTCTTGAGCTCCGGATTATACCGGGTTCCTTCAGGGAAGATGACGAGGTACATCTGCAGGGAGAAAACACAGGAAATCAAAGCCCGCTCAGATTCTTATTACACTGGCCAAAATGGATTTTCTAACTTTGACAGGATTCATTAAAACGTCAAACACTGTGCTGAACTTATAATGTTTAGAAGAAAACTTTCAACACCATTTTCATCCCTGGCTCTTTTCAAATCACACACACAAATGCAATTACTTAAATCCACGAGTTGAAGAAGTGGGATTACATTTGACTGGATGTGATTAATATGTGAAAAATAAAATAGTGTGCTTGATAGATCTGAGTTTGTTGTGCTGTATCCTTCTTTTTCCACCCATTTCTTTGATGTCAGATGTGAAAAATGTAAACAAAGACTTCAGCACTGTACTGAGCAGTAATTCATTTATAGAAGAATCCATATTTTTTTTAAATCTTCAGCAAAATATAAAAAGGCATTTTTTCTACAAAAGTACTCATATTTTCAAAGAATGGACCAATGCAGCCATCTCTAAAACACTTAATCACTTATTTGTGAATTACAGTTGACAGGCATTTAAAGCTGACCCCTGTTTAACACTTGTTTTGAAGCAAGTTTTGTACATTGATGCTTCCCTTTCTATAATTGCGTTTTTCGGGCATAGCCACACACTTCTAACTGGTCATAAGTGAACATTCACAAGGATATTTAAAGAGTCTATTCATTGGCTACAACAAACACATTCTCATTGTGTCTTAAACAAAATGTCCATTGGTACATTTCATTCAAATAGGAACGAAGATGAAAATAAGTGCACAAATCTGTGACACAACAAGAGCTTTTATAGTGTACCTTTAGGTCATGAGGAACTCTTCTGTCAGCACACACCCATACACACAAACACTAATCCCCAACAGTTTAATCCCCCAAAAAGTGATTAAAAACAAGCTCTCAACACAATAACACACACTTCAGTACTGCTCTCGTCATCAGATGTTCTGTTCATACAAACTCAGAGAACTATTAAGGTCAACATCCCGAATACAAGTAGGGTAAGAGGGAATTTTTGGAAGAAAGAATTGTGTTTTATTATTGCAGAAAGCTCTGCAGTGAATTAAAGTGGAGAAGTTTTAACAAAAAGGATTGTGATGATCAGAAAAATGTAAAGCCATTCATAATTTAGGGGAAGACATGGCAGACATTGTAAAGTCAATAAGCATGTAGTCCAGAGGCTAATTTACTTACTGGTGCTCCACATTTAGTCTGGGTTTGGAGCTTCTTCTTCATCGTTATTTCATTGAACTTTGCACTTCGCTTCACGTAGGCTCCTCCATGCTGAAACAAAAAGATCATTTGATGAGAGCAGCAGTTGGGAATGTGATTCAACATGAGTGTACATTCTCTACATCCGTAATTCACAATGACAAATGACATTCAAATACTCACACAGTTGTATTACCTGAGAGAAATACCATCCGTACAGCGGGAGCCACTTGAGGCCGTCTTTAAGGACGTATCTGACGTGGCCAAGGGCGCTCTGCCTGATGGCCAGCATGTCCGCAATGATCCAGTCAGCTGCAAGAAAAGACATTGGTACAGATTAGGTTTTTACTCAAATATGTGCTTCACACTAAACTAAGATTTTATAAGATGTAAATGTATTACCTGTACATTGGTGATTGGACAGGTAGATCACGTTCTCTTTGTTCTTTGGTATATCTCCGTATATAATAACCTACAGAAAAGGCAAGTTAAAGATATTACAAACCACAGCAAAATGGTGGACTGGCATCAGTTTGAAAAATGCTTCTACATTAAGATTAAGATTTCTTTCAGGGATTTGTTTCCACTTCAGACTTTTCTAAGAAACTAAACCGTCATAGACCTCAGCTTTCCAATTAACCCTAAAGACTCATTGAAACTTCTCTTCCAATCTACTAGTGCTGTCCTTGACTAAAGAAATTCTTAGTCGACTTCCTTTTTTGATCATTAGGAAGATTAAGAGGGGACTGCCCTACAATAGACTATGTGGCTTCCATTCAGCAATCGGGAGGGGCAGTTGTATTACACAAAACACAGTCACTGCTGGTTTTGTTTTGCAAACTTGAACCTATAATTATACCCACTGTAAAAGGAGTGGCAGCACAAGGGCAAAGAATGCAGAAATGATTGCACTGCTGCAGGCATCTGGTCCATCAAGATTTAGTTTACCAGTCTCAGCAGGCAGTCCCCATCTGACATTGTGTTAGTTTAAGAGTTACTGCAAACATGCACTGATCTGCATGAGGTGTGCTGTGCATGCAATATCGTTTTGCAGCAGAAACACAATTCCAAAAGATAAAAAAGGCAAGTTAGGTAGGTGATATAAAAATAAAAAAACGAGACTTATAGAACTAGGCTGACCTTACTAAGCATTATAAGCTATTTATAGGTCCTGTAATCAACAAAAGTAGCCAATAAACAGGAAAACAGATGGCCAGTTCAGACTGCAAGCTCAGCATTTCAGAGGCAGCTGTCACTTATGCCAAGGTCCTGGTTTTCAACTATTACTACACTTGTTTCCCATTGTAAAGCGTCCTTGGGTCTCTTGAAATTATTATTATTATTAGATACTAGTGGTTTAAATTCCCCATCCTTAATAAACACAGTCCACACAGGGTGACCACACAAGTAAAGACAGTAAATTAAGGATCACTCACCTCCACCCCTGTGTAGTTTTCAAAGAAGAACAGGACCATGCTCTGGTACATGCAGTACAACCGGTCATCCAACTTGTGATATACCCTTGCTGGTAAGACAGTGGAAAGTAAGCGCCATGCTCCCCATGACAGGAGGTAAGCTGGAGCTGTCCCCAGCATGACCGTGGCTGGAAACCAGTACCGCAGCGAGTATGTGTGCACCACCAAGGAGAGCAGCATGGTCCCACCTCTGGCTCCACTAAAGTAACTGAAATTATCCCTGAAGTAGGTTGTAGGACTCACTCTGTGTTTAAGATGCAGACCCTATCAATCCCAAAGCATACCTGACCTGCTTTCAGCACACCTGCCCCGACAAGTAAAAGAAGAAAGTAATAAAGCTGCAGCAAGAGGAGCTAGCTGGCTAAAGCTAATGTTAACCTTGTGTGCAAAAGGGCCAAGTCGGCTTAAGCGCTAACGTCCACCCATACTGCAATACAAAAAAAACGAAGTTAACTGATACATTTTAGCGCAAAACACAAACAGTACCTAAACCGGAATATTTACAGTATAAGTTAAAAGTGTTAGCTTACTAACTGTTAATTAACGTCTTAAGCCTGACAGGAAGTTTTATCAAACACTACATTTGAATAAACTCGCTCCCCTGATATGGGTACGATAACAAAGTGTAACCCAAAAGTAAGCTTAGTTGTTAAAAAGCGAATTTGTTCTATTTCCTTGCCCAGGTCTTCATCTTTATCCAGCTAGCTGTTCATAAACTAGCATCATGCAGCAAATGTCACACACGCCTCCCTACGTAATGCCACCCCCTAACATCGACGAAGCTGATTGGTCAAGCTACGTAGTGGAAGCCAGCCAATGGGCGGGGGCACGACATGGGTATTATTGTTAAAGGGCTATAACCAACAGTCTGATGCTATACAGTCAATGGCTATATCATACAGTCTAATTATGCTATAATACAGTCTATGGCTATAACCCATAACCATACAGTCTGATGCTATAATACAGTTAATGGCTATAGCAACTTTTCTTGTTTGTCTACAATGTATTTATAAGACTGTTATATGATTACATAAATTAATAACACAAGATAAGATAAACCCACATTGGTACCCGGAGTGAAATGCAGGAGTCATTATACACACGTATGCATACATTCATGTTATGTTATATTCATACATGTTATATTTGATATATTTTTATTTTATGTTCATACTCTCGTTTTACTTGTGGGATCTTTTTCTTCATAGTTTTTTATGCATATTCAATCAGCCTTGTAGAATTGAGCCCTAGATTTAAGATTTCCATTGCGAAGGACTCCTATGTAATTGTTGAACATGTGAAAAATAATAGAACTCGAACGTCAACATTTAAATGTTTTATTCTAAACTTTGAAAAAGTATTCAATCTGACAAATATCACTTAGTAATGATTGCGGAAGGCGGGTAGATAGCAGAGGGTGTTGCTCTGTATGAATCAGTCATATTGTGCTGACCTGCGATAATTACTGGGCTTGCCCAGATAAAGTAACTCCAAAAGTTTGATGCAAAGACAAAGGGGTAAGTTATTGATTTAGATAAAACATGTATTCATTATTAACTATTCAAACCACTCTATATGTCCTGGAGTTTGCCTAAACTATAAGCCGATTGAAAATATTTCTGCTTAAATTAGATACATCATTTCTGTCAATCTGAAACTGTTTATTTTATATATGTAAGTATTTCTAAATCCCCTAAAGCACTTCAACTTGCCTCTGGTCTGAATGGTGCAGTCTAAACAACCGTAACAAACTTGCTTCACCTTATTCTTTATGACCTTAACATACACATGCATGTATATGATACTTGTGAATCACTGAAAAAGTGAAAGCAGTGTATATGACGTAACTAGATATTCTCAGGCAAGAGACTGGTACCTTTAGTTTAAAGTATTGAGCACGTTTTTTACTTTCCATCTGCTGCTTCCACATGACTGACAAGTGTGAGTCTACACAGTGAGACAGCAGCTTGTTCATTTGTTGCCTGTCACCAGACACAGTTACATTTATCTTGTTAAATTTCAGATTTGAATCTAAAAACTAATCATGATAATCCACATTTTGATAAAGAATTTATTAAGACACAAACATTTTTATGTTACAGTATGTTATTTCATAAGACTGTTAAACTGGGTCAGCAAGTATTTTAGAATCACATTGTTAAGAATGAAAAACAATTTCAGTAGTGGTTACTACTTCATGAAAAAAGGAAAATAATGAAGGATTGATGTCGGTGCAGTTTTCGATGCTTCACAGTATCTTGAAGGGTTGATATTCCTCAGAGGTAACAGGTTTCCATGGTAACCTAACCAGTGAATAAAATTGTATAAAAGCTGAATATTGAGAGGACCTGGCCCTTGAACACAAGCAGGCAAAAACAATGTAAGGCAGAAATTGTGGGTATGTTACCAGGCACTGTCTAACATTAAAAGCACTCAAAATAAACTTCACAGCTTTCACTCCAAGTCGTAGTTATCGTATGACAGCCGCTTCAAATGCATGATACTATCTGAAATAAAATCACAAACAAATGAGAGGAACAATTAATAGCAGCAGAATATAGTCATTTAGCATGTTACACACAGGATGGCAGAAATGATCTTACCCAGCACCCACTGCTCTGACAGGACCCTGCTTCCCTCTGGTTTCCTGCCGCTGTACTTCCCGATGCAGATGCCCGCCTGCCGCACAGTTTTGCACACCGTCCCTCCACAGAGCTCGATCAGCTCCTCCAGACTCTGGGTGGGTGGCTGCGAGTGCTGGGACACAAACATGGCGGGCTGGTCCTGGAACAGATCCTGCTGGTGCTCCCCGGCCGACAGGTGCCTCTGGAGACGACAGATCTGGGAAAAGAAACGTGAAAATGTACCCATTTGTTCATGTTTAGATTAAACCACCAGTCAGGGGGAGCTGGGTATTTACACATGTGTGTTTCCTGCTGTGACATGTCCACATGTCTTCAGTGAAAGTAAGAATTCTTACTCAGGACAAATTCATCTACCCCGACTTTATAAAGTAGCAGTTGTGTGATGGCACACAACAATGGAAGCACACATTGTAAATTGCAAACCATCAACTAAAATGCAATGTAAGGTGTATTTGCCTGTTTTCAATCTAAGAAATAAAGATCATCATATAATACTTGTTCTGCATGTAAATGCATGTTATGTCAAAATAGTTCACCAATGTTACGAGGTAGATTGTTATGGGAATCTCTAAAAGTTGTTCTCCTGCACAAAAGTTATTTTGGAAAACGGTTCTGTTTATTTATGCAAGAAGGCTGCACTGCTGGAGTTCTATTGGGAGTACACTCGCCAAAGAAATATCACTTTATCAGTGAACTGTGTCATGCACCTGAAAATCCTGGGGGTTGGAAACTTAAACTGAGAAATGTTGACCTTCGACTTTTACTGGAACACAGCGTTAGAGAGCATTAAGAGTTAGATCAACATCCTGCTAATTGTCCTCCAAACTCTTCTAAACAAGATTGTTCTGAAACATTGTTGGATTTCTGCCATACTTCCCCCTGTATTCATTGAGTTCAAGAAACGTTCCTCTCTTATCGTTTGAGTGGATCAATGTTTTCTCTAATAAACATTCAAATAAAGCTAACCATGACATCTACCTGCACGCTGTCCTTGATGAAAAAATAAATTAAATATTGACTGAAGCCAGGAAAAACTGGCGAATCACAAGTTTGAAACTGTGATTCGATCATAGGATTCAATACTGAGAGTGGCCTGAAGGTGGCTGCTAGAGATACAGCAGAGGATGTAAGAATTTGGCTTTGAGGCACATAAAAAACAAGCACAACTGAAAGGCTTAATGTATCATTACATCCAATTCAAATAGCATCTTTTGTTGGTATGTGTTATTGCTGGACTTACAACAGTTTATTAGAGTAAAATAACATTAAATAACTTCAAACCAACTATTCAGCAGTATTAAAGTTGAACTTAAGCTTTCAATGTAGCCTCAGATTTGTAAATGTACATATTTTGAGACAATCAGAATCACAGTGAAAAAGACAACTCCTTGCTTACTGTTCAACTCTAATAAGAACTCTAAGTGGCATTATTGTGACCTACCATGACAACTCATGTGCTCGATTTAATTTCCCTTCGCTCACATTCTTCATGTAGCATTACGAACTCTGTCAGACTAAATGAGGGCATGTGAATCTCTTTGAGGTTGTGTTTCTTTTTGGGTTTGCTGAGTGATGCTCTGAGCTCTCACTGCAGGCCGCTCTCTATCCAGCAAGGGTCAGCTGCTAAACTGAAGGGAACAATCTGCTCTATTCTGAAGCTGAATGCCAGGAAACCAGCTTTAAGGCTTTTAGTCTTTTGTCAATGTTCACACAAGTTTCACTTTACGTCAAGTAATCAGGGATTGGTCAAAAGTTCAGAGACGGGGTCAAGTTAAGATTAACCCACATCGTGTGCTTTTAAGATAATGATTGAAAAGTATATGTAAGGTTTATTATGTGAGAAAGAAGCTTTAAGAATGAGGAGAAACAGTCCAACACAAACATGTTACAAGAGCTAATCAGAAAGTACATATACAGTAAATGAATAAACACAAAACTAAGCCTCTAAAAATCAATGAGAGGATATATTTCTATGTACAGAGAATTTTGTCAAGCATTTACTGAAGTGCATATATCCACGCAGACATGGACACGGGTCCTTTATTCGGGGTCAAACAAATTGTCATGCCTACTAACTTTCAACAGTTAGGATTTTCCTACATTTCATTTCATATCTAGTATAATGCTGCTTAAAGATACATTATTCATGACTCACATCTCTGTATTAAGTATTAGTCTGTGAACTTGCTGAAGCCTGTTGTTGCATTTCTCAGTACCACAGTGCTGAATTTTTCAAATCTCTAGAGGACGGGTCATAGAGATGCCAGTTGTAGCAAGATTTCTCTGGTAAACGCACTCTGAAATTGCATTGTAAAGTGCCAGCTAAAGAATAATTGGTTTTTCAGATGGGAAATTCCACCACCTCCTTCTGACAATTCAATCGATATATTTGCAGCCGCTAAAGACTTACATTTCTCTTTGTTGTGCAAGAAAGGCAGAGGGCTTGTACAGATTTGTAACAAATAAAGCAAGGCAAGAATTTTTCTCATCATAAAGAAATACAACGTGTGCTCCCATTGTCTGCTCGTAGTACGACAGCATGTTTACATTACATTACACGTTACTTGTTAGACGCTTTTATCCAAAGCGACTTACATACTCCATACTGTGGACAATCCCCACAGGAGCAATTTGTGCAAGTGTCTTGCCCAGGGACACAACGACATGCTGACTGCAGTGGGGTTTGAACCTGTGATCCCCTGATCCCCCTGATTCGATCACCAACACACTACCCCCCTGCGCCACACGCCTCCTGTCCTGTTTATCACCGTTGCCACTGAAGTTTGAGTGATTCCGCCTGAACACCTGAAAAGTCAATGTTTTTGGAATGACGACAAGTTCTTCCTCTTTGGTAATATGCCTTAAATATGTCGCATTTCCCTTATACAGTAGCTATTACAGCAGTCTACTTCCTACAATTCTGTTTCTGTGTTTCTATCCGACTGCAGAGGGCAAATCAAAGGCTTTCCTGACACAAAAGGAAAAATGGTGCATTTGAGACTGAAATGCTGTAATGCCAAGGTAAATGATAATTCAGTAGACAATAGCAAAGAGTGAAACCCCTGAATCAGAAGGAGATTGTCTTTGATGGAGACACATTCCTGCAGTAGAGGACACAACATCCTCCTATGGCAATGTCTTTCCTGCTCCACACACCTGCGCTCTACTCTGTTCCCCACTGGACATGAGAGCACTGAGTTAAATATTCCAATTAGAGGAAAAGACACAAAACCTTACATATGTGCCTCAAAAAAAGTAATCATTTTTATATGGCTGTATTAATATCTGTTCATACAAATCTAGTTTTCTAAAACATAACCGAGGGGCGTCTCGTTTAAAGAACAGTTTTTGTTCAAGCCACTGAATAACAACTTGGTAAAACAAGCATTTCAGGCATGTTTTTCCCAAAGAATGACTGAAAAATACTCTGGTTATCAACATCAGAGCTTGCCAAAAAACACTGGCTTCAATAAGTCTGGAAAACCTCTAATCTTTTCTAGGAATCTCTAGTTATAAGTCTGATGAATTACAGTATTAAAAGTCACACACACCTACAATATACAGTGAAATAGTTTCCCTGTGTGAAGTCCCTTTTTGTTGTGCTATTTTTAAGCTGGTGTAGACATGAATGTTTGGGACAGGATACAGAAAACACCCACGACATGCCCTCATATGAAAAGCTGAGAGTTCCAATTTGACTAAGTCAACCACACTTTAAACAAATGCATTTTCTTGTTAGAGAAAAAAAGAACTTTCTCATAGATTTGCTGTTCTAAAACGTCACAGGCAGATAATGCCTTATTATACGTGTGACTCGAGATCATCTGAATCTCAATCTACCCTAAAGCGGATGAAAAAACAACAGCAACTATTTTGTGGTCAGCGGTCAACAAGTTGCATCTGTAGTTTGTACTGATATGACACTTTATAGAACCTGAAGGAATATCTGTTTTACAACATTTTGAACATGTAAAATAAAAGACATAAAACCGTTATCAATAACATTTCAAAATGAAAAACCTTCTTCCAGAAAAAGGAAGAATAAGTAGATTTTGCTTAAAACATTGATAAAGCATACGGACAAGGTAGAAGAATCCGTGGAATGAGTGATTTCTTCCTTTGGATCCCCCATTCACATTTGCAAGTGTGTTTGTCCCCGGGAAACATTTCTGAATGAATGGGATGAACTCTGTTACTATCACAGAGCGTGCTGAAGGTGCACAGCTGCATCCTGAGTAGCTGTTCAACTGAAGCAGACAAAAACATGCGTGTTGTAGAGGATATAGTGGAAGGTGTGTAGTTTTGTGCATCTGCTCCTCTGTGATGTGAAGTGAGTGCGTACTGAAAGGAATCCCCACTTCACTGCTCCTCAGTGACTAGGGGGGGGGGGGGAGTGGTTTTGGACTCTCAGCTAATCAGAGGGGCCAGTAGTAGCTCAAACAAGTGGCTGGGGGCTGATGCAAAGCGAGCACATGCAGTCTGCCACCAGTAACCTAAAGGGAATGACACGCTACATCTAATTCTTGATGGCTTTTTGATCCTCCTCCCACTGAGAGGTAATAAAAGGAATCTGCAGACCCTCGGAGGATTGTTTACCCTTGGATGCCGCTGGAGAAAGACATCCAGTCATTGAGAGAGGATTAAGAACAAGCTAACGACCAGACTTAGCACCTAACTCTATTATGAAGATGCTGAATGTGGACTTACTAGTTTTAAGTTTCTGCCTTGGTCTGGGGACAGGATACAGTGCTGTGGTTAAAAGACAATATCAGATTCAAAACGGGCCGTGCAGCTACACCTTTCTGCTGCCAGAGCAGGAGAACTGCCAGACTCAGAGCAGCAGCTACTTCTATCCAGATCAGAAGGATGGACCTGTGGACGACGAGGACTCAGCTCAGAGGCTGGAACAACTGGAGAACATCATGGAGAACAACACACAGTGGCTGCTTAAGGTAGTGTCAAACCACAATATGACAGGAATACATGAGACTGTGACTGCCTGGGTACAGTCACTGAGAGAGAGTCATAGATAGAAAACTAGGTGAATGATTGAAAACAGTTTACAAGGTGAAGACTGAGTGGACACAGCCTGGCCTTTCTTGGTAGTCTTTTTTTATGGCCAGGCTGTGTCCACTCAGTCTTCACCTTGTAAACTGTTTTCAATCATTACATCATCATGTATTAACATAGAAGAGA